TTTGAACAATGGTAGTGATTGTGGTTGGTGGATCCCCCTCTCATCCCCCCCCGCCATCAAATAAAGAATAGCTGAAATTGAAAGAGAAAAAAAAGGGGGGGGGGGGGGGGGGGGGGACAGAAAAAACTAATAATGAGAAAGAGCTGCTCCTGGTATTTTAGAAGACGAACAATTCATTTCTATCAATGAATAAATAGGAGAAAATAATAAAAAGAAAAACAGGCAGAATTGGTTTAAAATCTTAAAAGCAAGGTCAAAACAATGTTCCAAAATAGGGGCCCAGTTTTATTGCTTTAGGTGGTTACCAGTAATTACCGTCTCCCTTCGTAGAGCTTTTGAATTGATCGACACTGGGTATATCCGTTATGTATAAATACGATTTTTAGCATTTTGAGCAAATAGATTGTACATTTATTTTTTCCAACTGACTTTTATTTTTGGAAATATTCGAGGTCAAAATCCAGGACTTTCTTCGAGATAATGGGTAATCCTCCTTAGTTTCCAGTTTACCAAAAAAAGTGTTTGCCAAAAGATTAATCATTATTCACACTGTACAGGGGGGAGATAGGGGAGGCATATTTGGTTATTTTTTATGTTGATAGCCCAAGTACTGCAGAGGAGGAGATATCTTGGGGGTCTTGGCCCCCTCCCACCCCACGTTTTTAACCAAGGTGTTTCAAGCCACTCATCACTCATCACCCACATGGGTGTTTTTTGGAGGGGGGGGGGGGGGCTAGATTCTTATTATTTTGGGTGGGGCTATCAAATTTAAAATTTGGGGTCATTTTATATTTACATAGATTTTTATCTTACAAATCTGAAGAGGGGGATACAAAAACTATTAGATTTGTAAAAGGGAATATCTAAAAAACGTTTTTTTTAACTTCATAAATAATGAACGGTCCTTCTATTCCATCATTTACTTCCTTAGTTTTTGGTCTCGGAATGATTTTCACCTGATTCAGGTAACAGGCAAATGAGGATCCAGATTTATCCCATTATGCATTGCGAGTGAGACATAAAAGTTTCATTTAAACAGCTGAAATAAGCCTGAAGTGAGTTAACGTTTTACATCCGTCTCTAGACCATAATCCTTTTCACACTGCCTTTGTTGTTTAATTGACTATTGTTCCGGTATTCTCTAAGGAATCAAAAATTTTAATATGAAAGAATTTTAAAAACTATTATGGTATAGAGTCGGCGGTAAAACGTCATCTCGCTTCAGGCTTATTAATATTTTCAAAATTTTCTACTTTTGCAAGTCCCATAATGCTTTGAGCCTTGGGAGCCGTGACCAATCAAAACACTTTTCCAAATAAAGCAATTGAATGTAAATACCTGCTTTTATCTGTAGAATAATTGATTATCAGTTCATTCCGAGTTAATTTTGCACGTTTAGTATAGCAAATGGTTTGGTGTTACAGAAAATGTATTAACTTATGAAGAAATAATTTTCTATTTCTTTCTGTTTCTATAGCGTTTCATTTTATATTTGGATTTCAAACCAGGTATTTTATCAACATTCTCGACTTTCACATCCCCATAACACTTTGCGTCTTTGGGGGTAACCAGAGGGTAAAAACCCACTTATTTTGCTGAAGGCTGATAAGACAATGCTGACAATACCTTGTTTGGTATCCAAAAATAAAATGAGGAAGTAAAAACAGAAAAATATAAAAGCTTGAAGACGTTTAATTTAAATTTTAAACATTTTTTCGTAAGTCAATACCGATTTTCTGTAAGACCAAAACTCTTGATGTTCTGTACGTGCACGCAAAAATAACTTGGAATAAACTGATAATCGGTATTGTATAAATAAAAGCAAGTATAGTATAAATTCAATTAAGAAACCATTCAATTTGGGACAGTTTTTTGATTGGTTAC